TTTGATAATTTATTTCTGAAAACAAAACATAATTCTAGCGGGACTTTAATGAAAAAAGGAAAATTAAAATAATCAAATATAATCAACAATAGTGTTTTGTGAAAAGTCAGTTGAGCTGGACCAGGATTTGAAACTTTCGACCTTAGATAGTTATACTGTCGCTCTAGACGACTGAGGTACCTGGTCAACAGAAGTGTCCTAGCCCAACTGTGCTACAGTTATATCGAAACGAAATTAGGGAGAGGTTTCTGAATATACCACAAAGTAGAGTGTAGTGAAACAGAGATCCTTAAGAGAAAGCAATTCCTCATTTGCTCAAATAGTTTATTATGTTTTAACACTCAATTAAGACACCACATCAACTCTTTGACTCGTTCATTGTGTGGTTCTTAATGAAAATTAGATTTAACGTCAAGATAGTTTTAAAAGGAACGTACTTTTTAGTTGAAGAGTGATTAATTGAATTCATTCATATAAATTGCATAAAACGCATGTTTTTTTAATCGAATGCTTCACTGCACTCAGTTGATGTATATCAATATGACAAATGAACCACCAAAATAACTATAATTTTATACAATATACACAATCATATGTCATTTTAAATATACTATTCGCCTGCGATATTTATTGTTTTATATTATAAGCATACCTCCGTCTCTCATTTTGGTGATAGACAATGAGGTCCTCCTTTTCTACCACTGGTAATATTGACTTATCATAAATGCAGTGATTGTTCATTTGTTGTATCAACTTATAAGCAAAACAATTACAGAATTAAAAGTGGGTCCGAATGTTTATCAGTAGAATATGTTTATTCTTTCGAACACTTGGTCTTGTTGTCCTTGGACTTTTTCAATGGTCTCCATTTACATCTTTCTTTGTTTATATCTTACCATAGTTTTGTTGCTGACATTTCAGTATTCTTGTTTTTCTCTCTCTTGCTCTTTTTGCCAAGTATTGGTATTAAAACAGCCCAGGTTTGACTGTACATTTGTATATAGAAGCAAACTGCTCGCATGATCATTCCATCTTTTACATACCAGTCGGACACAGTTTGCATGTAACATAACTATAACAATAAACAGCTCATGTAGTTGTATACAATTCAGTTATAATCATATCCGGAAGTTCTAAGTAATAAATGAGATTGCAGACATGTCATGCACTTTTATTTATATCATTTTATTACTTTAACTTTTGGTTTTATATATTATGTCACGTCAGCAATGTTATCTGGCAGCATCTCCTCTCTAGCTCTCTAGCAACACTTCCAATAAATAGCTAGGTAGTTTATCGTGCAGCTCTTGGCACAATATGAAAATTGGCAATAACGTTCTATGCTACGTTCCCGCTGGTCGCTCGTTGAGATCTGAACCATGCTTTTTATTGTCGATTGGGGGTTTGTGACAAATACAACATCTCCAACTGCTGTGCGTCGTGTTTTTTCACTCTGCAACAAATGATTGATTGCATTTCAGCATTAAGAATATCCGATTCAGGTGCTGAACATCAATTGCTTAATTGAGGTCGCACGCTGTTCTGTAACAGTTGTGATGTATAGGGTGTTATTACAGATATTCTGATGAAATGTGCAGGCGTATATTGCATCGTATAATGCAAAGTTTGTTTTATTTAATGTAAGCAATGCGATAGATCTTAATAGAATTTATGTACGAAGGTTTTTACTTTCTTGAACATAATATTTGACAGTGTTTTCAATTTGTTACTATTTTTTAATATATATACTATATTATATGTATATAGTGTACATGTACATGACCACATCTCCATGTTTTCCATGGATGTAAACTTAAATGTTGGCACGTGACTTCCACTTATTTTGTTAAATGGTTAAAGCATTTTCCAGCATTGTCTTTTTTTTAAAGAAATGGCTTGCAATGATAAAAGAAAAATTACATTACAAAAGGAATATTGCAAAAAAGGAGACGTATTACAAAAGAGGGAAAGTGAGATGGTGATGGTAATGCCTATTTATGAAAAAACAAGTTTTGCACACTTGTACATGTGGAGGCTGATTTATGAGATTGCATTCACTTCAAGAGATTTTTGTAAGGAAGACAAGATAGCGTGTTGCCAAACACTGACACAAGAAATTGAAGTTCCTTTTTCATCTAAATTTGTTTTAAAATTTCCTAACTGTGAGACCGTCGTTTGAATTATCTTGCATGTTGTTTTCCGAAAAAGCTTCAGAATCATTTTTACGCACTTATATTAATCAAATATCGAAGTCAATGCACTTTTAAAGGTTTCATCGTCCATTACTATTGTATAGCATATCTTTACATAATAGATCTCAAAATATTGAGGAATATTTTTCTTTTCTTCATCTTTATGTATCATATTCTTTGGACTCCGCTGAATCTTAACCTGATTTTAAAAAACCGCACCCTGTTAATTTTAGTAACAGTATATATGAAACATGAATATAAATAATAAAATGTGCAAGACGATAGTTCTCAACATTATTTAGCGAGATTTTGTCCAGATATCTAACAAGTTTTATCTGAAATTAAATGCATGTCATTGAAAGCATATTACACGAATGGAAAACCGACGCAAATGAATTAACCGTACAATGCTCTACTTTACAAACGATATAATCTTTTATATGTTTGATAGGTGATATCAGTTTTCCGTCCTGCCAATTAAAGAACCGGATGTTTACCAGCAAGCCGGATGACGTAGAACGTGAAACCTGATTATATCTACACCTTTCCATTCACATATACAGAAATTAGCATTTAATATACATATCTTGATATTTTTAATAGATGCAATTTTATTCATTCATAAAAATGTCACCAACACATTCATTAACGTCAGGCCGATGATATATTACTATTGAAAAGAACAAAGATTAAAAGTAAAAATAAATAAATGAATAAGTTAATAACTGCAAAAAAATTGTGAGATAAAATAAAAAACTAATTTCGAAATGATAGAAAAACATGCATGCATTAAAATTTAATTAAATCTAATTCTCAAATTACGCAAACAAAATAATGCAATGCTAAGTAATCTTTCAATAGGTATAGAATGAATTTTAATGTTACTGTCGGTATGAACGCATATGAATTACAAATTTTACCTACAGTACATATTTATGGAAGTTCGATGATTAAAAGTTACCTAAATATGGGTATTCTATAATAATTGTCGTGTCGAGGTGTTTGTATCGTCAGTACAAACGGTAATATTGGAACAGCCTAATATCACCTGAATGTTTGTTTCCTATGATGGTCTCAAGTGATGCGTGAAGAGACAAGAGGCGTCAAATGACGCTACTGTAATCATATTGTGCTGGTTTTATGAAATGCTTTCCTCGGGTAAATAGTATGTGTAGGCAGGATCACAAATATAGATGAACAGCAAAATAGTCCTCATCAGTAGTTACACATCATCAAACTTACTAACATGTAAGATGCAGTGACTCGTCGCCTATAAATAAATATTAGCCATGTGCACTAATTGTGCATCGTAAAATGCCATATGTCTTCGCCCCATAAGTTTTTTCTGCTTAATGCGCATCTTGATAAAAACCGATATCGTTTTTACCGTAGAGCATTGAATGTTTTGTTTTATTTCCGTGCGCCGTTAAATGCCATCCAATCCAGACAGATGTTTTCAATGATGCCATAACTTTATATAGTCTCCAGGGAAATCCCTTTTCCCATTTTCTGGAGAAATTCGAAAGAGAAGGAAACATTTTGGTGACTACTTCAATGGTTTTCTATCCGGATGAGTACATTTTATTGCAGTCCAATATGTTTAGCCGTGTCAGTATTGTGATATCGTTTGTACAAACATTGTGGAGAATTGAAATCAAGCGTTACAACTTTACTGAAATGCAAATCAAAGTCACTGTCATCTCTATCATCAAATTAACATGTTCAATCGCTCTTCATTAATTAACCGAGACAATTATATTAATTGAATTACGGGAATTCAACCGACTCCTACAGTTTTCAAATCATACGGTGTCGAATTCAGACCTGTACGCTAAATTTAAATCAGAAAATAATGGATACAGCAAACAATCTACTACTTCAGTTGAATAAAGCCATCATTCACTTATTAGTTATACGTTTAGAATGTCACCAAATACAAAAAGTACACATTTCCTGCCGTTGAACAACTCCAATTCTGTTGTTAAAGTAGCTAGGATAATTGAATAATTAATTTGTAAAAGATCTCACTTAGCAAACAAAAAATTCCGTTTCGATATTCTCAATTACGGTTATTCTCAAATACTTGAAAAAAATAGCATTTTAGGTACCGCTTTGCGATATATTGAAGCATACCTATAAAGAAATTGTGAAGAACAAAGAATTACAATTTTGCAAATTAAACGAGAGCTTTGAATCGAAGTTTTAACATATAGTGATAGTTAAATATTCAGTGAATAATCTTAATCCAACACCTTTGATTCGAATGTTCTCCTAAATCCAAAGCTGTGTATTTTTGCTTATCTATATATATTTTTTATCTTAATAATTTCACCTTAAAATGAAGCGATATTCTATAGAATTGACAAAGTGTGCATTGTTCGAATTTTGTAGCAAAATACGTCTAATGTTATGAAAATTATGTTCAGCTACTGATATTTTACAGTTTGTACCTTCTAATTTACGCAAAACCTTAATGCACATGTCAAGTACAACGCGACCGCTGATATTGAACGTCTGTGTGCACTGTAGCGTCGATAATTCTGACATGCGTGTTTTATATTTTGCCAACCAGCACAATTTGCATCTACTGACGTGAATTTGTTGTTGTGGATGATGTAATATTACATGAACAACACCAAGCATTCCAATAGGTTAAAGTGAAGATGTAGCGTGCACGAAATATATTGAATAATCTAAATAAAAGGAATTATTCTCTATCTTTTGTCTTTTGTGAATGTGAAAATATCACGATTGCAACTTTGTACAGATATTTGAATCCGATTTGCATTTTTTTTTTTTTTTTTGCAGGGCAATGCTTATTGAGAGAGCGATAATGTCCTCTTATGGAAAACGAAGATGAAACACGATGTAGAGTTATGGTTGGTTTCTGTGTGTGCCGTCCTTTGCATGGTATACAGTATTGCGGGTAAGTGTACATGTAAATCGACCTACTTCCTCTATCACAATTTTATTCCAGAGTCGTGTACAAAACCTCGCTCATCCTTTGGGATTATGTATATTTGTCTCCAACCTCATTCCTCTACTAAGGGGTCGTGTAAACCAACATCAAGTCTCAATGAACCCTTCATGGACCTGTACAAAAACCACAAAAACCACCATCATCACTCAATCCTTGAGGATCGTGTATAATTATTAACATCCGACCACACTCAACCCTTAAGGGTTGTGTACATCAACCCAAATATCACTCAACCCTTAAGGGTTATGTGAATCTATCCAAATATCACTCAACCCTTTAGGGTTATATACATCAACCCCAATATCACTTAACCCTTAAGGGTTATGTGAATCTTCTCAAAGATCACTCAACACTTACGGCTTATATACATCAACCCCATTATCACTTAATCCTTAAGGGTTATGTGAATCTACCCAAATATCACTTAACCCTTTAGGGTTATATACATCAACCCCATTATCACTCAACCCTTAAGGGTTATGTGAATCTATCCAAATATCAATCAACCCTTTAGGGTTATATACATCAACCCCAATATCACTTAACCCTTTAGGGTTATATACATCAACCCCATTATCACCTTATCCTTAAGGGTTATGTGAATCTACTCAAAGATCACTCAACACTTACGGCTTATATACATCAAACCCATTATCACCTTATCCTTAAGGGGTATGTGAATCTACCCAAATATCACTTAATCCTGTAGGGTTATATACATCAACCCCAATATCACTTAACCCTTTAGGGTTATATACATCAACCCCATTATCACTCAACCCTTACGGGTTATGTACATCAAATCCAATATCAGTCAACCCTTAAGGGTCACGCACATCAACCTCCAACTTGACTTATCCCTCAGGCGTTGTGTACATCAACAATCAACCTCACTTGTTTCTTTAAGATCTTGAAAATCAATACCCACATAACGTAGAGTCACCTCACTGTAATAATGTCAAAAACGCTTTGATTTCGAGGCGTCAAGATCCGGTGGTTTTTACCTGGAACGAGACTGGGATTTTTTTTATTTTTTTTTGCAACAAGACAATTCATTTTTCATGACAACAATGTAAATCTTACTAGTTTACTATAAAGACTTCTTAAAATAAGTATTTTATAGTTTATAAAGCAATAGAATACGCTCATTTATAAAGAATGTACCACGCGCCTAGAGAGGAGGATTTTTTCTTTAGTTCCATTTTGTGTTCTTAGCTTTACGCAACATTTTGTTGATGTATTCAATCTTCAACCACGAATAATACGTTTGCTGAAATGCAAAACAATGAAATATGTGTTTCGAAGACTTATGTATTCTATAATTCCGAAAACTATGCATTTTAAAAGCGCCTGTGTCCGGCAACCTTTGTTCATCCCGATAACCTCTCTATATGACTTCTTTGTTTATGTAGCGGGAGCAGGCAATGAGACGATTGAGGAGTGCCTTAGGTCGACTAACTTTAACTTGACGGATGAGCAGAGGCTTCTCACCAAGCTCATGGCGTCTTACAACAAACAGACACGCCCAGTGTTTAATGCGTCACATCCGGTCAAGGTGAAAGTCGGACTGACGGTCACACAGATATTTGACGTGGTAAGTAATAAATGAGGACCATGTGGTAGATTAGCCTTTGGCTAATCATGTCATACTCGTAGATTAGCCTTTGGCTAATCATGTCATACTCGTTAAGTAAAGTGTATTAGTATTATTGTAATAAATGTTGTGGTATCCGTGTGCGTATCTTAAGCATCCTTTCATGTGGTTTGCATACCAGTTATCTGTATTTCAATGAAAATGACGCTGATGGTATCAAAACGGCTTTAACAATGACNAAATAAATAAATAAGAGCAAACATATGTTAAGAACTCGGTAGAATTTGGTTTTAGATAAACTAGATTTGACAATATCTGTGTATGTAGGAGAAGAAACTGCTAACTCAGATTTATTACATACCACGAATTGTATATATCAAAACAATCATTTAATATATCAAAAATGTATATCTAGTTTTGCCCTGATGGAAACCCGCAGACTGGAAATGGACTAGGATGTATGATAACATCAGATTGCTTAACTCTGTGAGGTTTATCACAATAGCGCTGTACATATACGTAACATTCTCTTATATGCCCTTGGCTCTGGTTTGTGAGTATCGACAGAAAAGATCACAATAAATCATGCATGCAAAGACCATAAATACAGGGATATTTGGAAGACGCCAAGATAATTTTATTTCTGTAAATGTCATATTCTCTATCTTCCTTTATAACTTACCTGGCTAATATCTTATTATACTGATGTGCACTGTAGAACATGTACATCTGTGTTGAAGCAGGGGTCCTCCATCTGAATTTATCTGTCTGTTTGCTAATGGTCCGCAACGGTGGCAACAGTAACGGAAAATGTATAGACAATAAACTACTATACACATCGTCTGCGTACAGGTTGGAATGCTCTCTGACCTTTATGTGTTCTTTCAGTTCACCTTTTGTGCATGAAGTGTTATCAGTTGGATTTGGTGTTGTAAGAAAGAACCCATAGTCTAATAGACGGGGATGTGGACAGTGTAGCACCATTAGACCACAGACGCTGTATCATTAACGAGCATCTTCCTCTGTTGTGTACACACACATGCATACATAAAGTAAATGTTTATAACATAAACTCACCACTTTCGTTCCCCAGTACAAGACATAAGTCTTGCTCTCTCCTTATACATTCCATAATTATTCTATCCTGAAGCGAAAGGAAAGTTTTGAACACTGAAAGAACAACAATCTATTAACCACTTGCATATAACTAATATCATAATGATAATGAAATAAGTTTTCTACATTATTAAACTACATTGTATATCACTTTACATTAAAAAGGGAAATATTACACACACAATACTCAGTACTAGAATTTTCTCTTTTGATGTATGTTCGCTTGCCTTCGCGAAGGACAGTATAACTCCATCGACCTTTCATGTAAATATATATTTGTAAAATCCTACATAAGTTAATATTTTATATTAAATATTTTTAAAATGACTCGAAGAATATTTCATTAAGTGAAGCTCTGGCATGTAAAAAAGAATCAATTTAGCAAGTGTGTTCTGCTTGGCCAAAGTCAAAATAATTTCTGTTTGAGATGATTTCTTTGTTCATGAGCTGATAATGTGGTTTTTGGCAAAAGTATAAACAAACAAATGTTTCACTGAATAGTGAATTCATTTATATCAATTTGTTATAACACTTCGGCTTTCCACGCAGGCGGCCGGGGTTCGATCCCCGCAGTCGTCGCACGCATGGAATATCAGACAAAGGGTTTTTCTCCTGCCCACACAACTCCAACAACCCAGGTGGAGTATAAAATGGTCTGGGGTGGATGTTGCGGTATCTGTGATGTAGCATTCAAGTGAGGTGGCACTATAAAAGATGCCGTTGGAAGCACGGTCCCACTACAAACAGAACACAATACATATCCAGTACACACGCAGGCATACACACATAGGGAGATATTAGCCAGGTGGCATAGGACTAGTAGTTAGCGCCTGATAAGGCAGCTCCTGCGAATTCCTCAAAAATTATATATCCTAATTGTATTAATTGTATATCTATGTGCTTTAAAAGCGCTTAAGAGTGTCTTATGTAAGCGAGATATCAAATGTTGTATATTATATTATTATTATTATTATTAATGCGGACCATAGTTTAATATTTCAATACTGATATCGAATGATTTAAAAAAAAGTATTGTAGGCAATATGATAAAACTTTTAAAAGCACATGTGAACAATCTAAGTTTTAAAATTGGACGACGTTTAAAAAATAATTCATCATCCTATGAAGAATTTTATTACTTTGCTCATCGGTTTTTAATTATCTTTTACGAGGATATTTAAACATAACTTCCGTTTGATAATTCAAAGACTTCTCATAATGTACCAAGCTGACTTACATTTCAAACGTTCTGCATCCTTCTTTAATTACAAATTACGTTACTAATTAGTCTAGTAAAAATAATTCACCTCAACTATTAAGTATATGATGAATAAATATTGGTAAATAGATTGTTCTATGTAGTTAAAATGTTAAAGATAATTATTTTCCAGTATATATAAAAAACAAACTATTACTTGTCGATGAAATGTATGCAAATTAACCTGTATGTACTAGACAAATGTTCTGTGTACGTTCCTTTTCCGATCCATTTACCGTACCATACTAGACAGATAAGCATAGTCATATTTACCGTTGTTCTCGCATGATGTAAATTTTGCGAACCTGCTCAGAATCAAACTTTCGCGTTTTAATTATCGCGTTTAAACCTCCATTTTATAGTATATACAATACTATGTCATACAGTAAGAACGTTTTGGTCAGGTGATCAAAACTTTGCGTAGAACTCTTTTGCAATTTCATTATCTCATGATGGAATGGGATGCTAAATACTCACGCAAAATACCGAAATGTAGTGTTTCATTCTAGCAACTTTTAAATCCCATGGAAGCAGATTCATAAATACATTTTGTTAAAATGTTTTCATTAGTGCTCGACTTAATTGTCCTAAACGTTCGACGTTCGACAACGTAAAAGCAGTTGTACTTGTGGAGTATCCAGATTGTTGTTCACATAGTAAGTGTGGAAGCGAATGTGTTATTAAAGTTAAGGGATACACACTTTTCGTAATTGCTATACAAATAAATCAGCCATCGCATGCAAACGATATAGATAGTGTAATACAGCGTGTCAGTAGCGCTTGTGATGCTTGGTAAACAAAACACCAATAAAAATAAGTGAAAACAATCACGATAATCAAATGAAGCAATCGATATTATCAAACCTAGAGGTCACGATAAATGTAATAAAATGTTGGACCAAGAACTATAGTATATGATCGTAATGATAGTGTTTCTCTTGTAGATACAGCTATACATTAGATCTATTATAAAACAATTATAAAATGTCTATTAAACATTGGTATATGTATACATATATTGATCGATAGCACGTTGATATTATCACTTCTTTCTTTCTGCTCTTCTTTTATTCTTTGCTATTGTTATTACCTACATAATTCTATTTTTTTCTGAACAGAGACAGATAACAATGCATGTCCTAGCAAATGAAATGTATTTGGTACATGTAGTTACATTACAATGCAAAGAAGTGAATCGTTGTGTAATTGTCTTTTGTCATCAGTCAATTCTGCATCACAAACTCACTTAATGAGAGCTGACCCTGATTGAGGTTTTTGTTTCATACACATTTTGTATTCAGAGTACCCTGAGGCCCATATATTAATTTGTCATGGCTAATTTAACTGTAGGGGAAAATAGCTATCCATTTTTTACCTCTAATAATCATGTTTCAGTCAACGCTTAAAATAATGAACATTGTTTTCTTTAACTTTAATAGTTCCTGAAAATATATAACGTTTTACAGATATCAATTAATAACGTATATTAATCAATACAGATATTTAATCTGATTGTTTACCATTTTGTTTACAGGACGAGAAAAATCAGGTGGTCACAGTGAATGTTTGGCTCGACCAGGTGAGTGTCTCTGTGTCAGAGAGTGAATTTAGAAAAGTTTGATAAGATTAAAGATAAAAATATCGTTCATAACTTATAACGAAGTAATTTTTAAATGACAATACCCAACGTCAATTCTGGACTTCTTACTATTTAGAAATCAGACTCCGTCTATCCGTTTATGTAAATCCTCCAAATGTAGCTTGTATTCAGGAATTCTTTACTGGAAAAGCTTTAGCAGTTTTAAAATATATTGTAAGTTTCACTCGTTTGTACGTTATTTCTTCACCGAACTTTAACAAATAGGATGTATTGTTTATGGGAAACAGCTTAAACAATGTCTTAAAGCAATAAAGGTAAAGTTTACTACAAGCAATTCCAATATGATGATGTCATAATGCGTTTCCGACTCGAAGTCCTAGCTTTTCATCAAATGATGATGAACTGATCCTGAACTTAGTACTTATGTAACTGACACAAGATGGATGTCTTTAAAAGTAAGATAAGTGATAAAATCCCATGACACAATCGTTCTAAGCCTTTTAGAACAAAAACTTGCGATACCACACAAATGGGAAATGAATATATACTCCAAACTTTTTGAATAATAAACGCAGACCAATACAGCTTTATTATTGTCATAGCAACACTCGGAAACATTCACGGGTCATACCATCAACCTCTACCTACTTTATAAATAACCCCAGTAAACAAGGATCAAGTGCCACAGCGTTGTTTACACAGGCCAGACATCGTGTCAAGAACAAATTAATGGGAGATGGTGAACTTTGATATGACTCTAGGAAAAAACTTCATCACATGAACGTTACTATATGCATGTCTACAAGTTCACGGAGGAACATCTGCTGTCGGGGTAATTAGGCGTAACGATGCTTGTTTAATATAAAATCTTGTTCACATAGTGTTCATCTGTTTTTTTCTCGTCATTATCAGTTTTAATTGGAAAAATGCTGAGGCGCTACGTCACCATGATGCAACATTTCTTCTTGTACTTTTTCTGGCACATGTTATTGTACTTTGTATGTGAGTTTGTTTTCGGATTGTATACAGTAGATTGATAGGCGCGGTACACTGTTTACAAAGATGAGTGAGCTCGGTCAGTTTATATTTCTTTAGTCTGTCTTCATTCCTTAAGAAAACATTGAAAACATAGTGTCCTCCTAAAGTGAAACGGAACATCGTATCACAACATTATCTTTACACGCGGAGAAAATAGTATCTGAAAGTCGAAAGTGAATAAATAAATAAATAAATGAATAGATCTATTAATATCAAATTATATCAACAAAAGTAATCTAGGAGACATCAACTAATAGAATATGCGTCTTTTCGTAAATTCAAGCACGCAGGGATACAAAGGGATAAAGAAATTGGAGAATAACTACGTTATAACTTGTTTAAGTAATGAAGGTCTTAAATGTATTTGGTTATATATCTTATCATATGCTATGTAAGTTTCCGACCCAACTGAATGCTACAGAATGACATATTATCTGAAGCAAATTTATATCCCTTGGTCGTGCGGAACTGCTTCATTTCACTTTTACTAGCTGTGGTCTTATGAAGTTATGAAGTTGAAGAGTTATGAAGGGGTTGGACTTTTGAGTGATAATAGCATCATTGATGGGGCATTTTGAACTTTATGAAATCTTTTGATCCTTACTTTATCAATGAAGAAAAATATGATGTCGTTTAAAGAGATTATCATCCAATTCACCTGTAAAACTCCTATTTTCTCAAAGTCATTTTCGCTTTTCGTTCGCAATTACTGTTCTACAATGTGTATGGTTTATTGTTATCCCTATATCATTTTAATAACATAAACAACTCACTAACCGTACAGGAAGCCAACTGTCTCAAAAGTAGGATAATGAAGTAAAATAACTATAAAAAGAAATATCAGAGCAAGGCAAAGATAAATGCTAGCCTTTATCATGCATTCATTTATTTAAATAGTAGATTTACTACGAGTCGAATTGAATTCCTACGAAACATTCCGATTAATTTATTACTTTGTTTATTGGTGCTTTGCTTATTGTCGCACTTTGTGCTCCATGGACAAATACAGCGACAACGATTTGGTGGTAGCACATGTAATAAAATACAGTAATGCTTATTTCAGGAATGGCATGATGAAAAGTTATCGTGGAATCCCGACGATTACAACGGTCTGTCGGTGATGCGGATTCCGTGTAACAATCTATGGCTGCCAGACATGGTCCTGTACAACAGGTAATTATATAGGCCTAACCTGGAACCTGTCACGCTAAGCCAAGTAACCTTATTGATAAAACCATTTGCATTTGGCCCTAAGCGTGTATCATCAGCGTAAGGTTGGAACTGGAAACAAATTCGGCATGCTTAGTAATGGTAACTCTCTCATAAATTAAAACATATATATATATAAGTCACACAGACAATTGTTATTGTAAAGATATTCATGAACGAAATGAAAGTGATAATTAAATATTAAAATGGGAATAAGTGTAACAATTATAGGTAATAATTAATATTTGTTTAATCCGCAATTATCAGACAACTTAAGTGAAACATTTTACATGGAATTTGATAAATCTTTAAAAGTATCTTCGTTTTCGCAAATTTCATGGGTTTTTTTGTGTTGTTTAATGAATGAATGGCAGTTTTCAAAAGAAAGATGTGACGTAAAAATTTCCTTTTATGAAATTTCTTTATTGACTTTTTCAGTGCATCAGATTACAACGAAAAGTATATGGAAGCATTAGCCATGGTGTCACATGACGGTAACGTGTTCTGGCCACCTATCGTCAAACTCCGGAGCTCGTGCCAAATGGATATAACCTACTTTCCATTTGATGATCAGATTTGTAAGATGAAAATGGGATCATGGGCGTACGACGGCTTTCAGGTTGATGTCCTTAATAGGTCTTCCAACATCGACCTTACAAATTATGTAGAGAACGGAGAGTGGGAACTTATCAATACCAGCTCCGTTCGAAACGTTGTGACGTATCCATGTTGCCCCGAACCTTTTCCAGATGTGACGTTTTCAATCCACATCCGGCGTCGAACAACCTACTATTTGTATAACGTCATTATTCCGTCGGTGATGCTTTCGTCGCTCGCTCTGCTTGGATTTTGGCTTCACCCGGACGGCGGGGAGAAAGTGACCCTAGGACTAACGGTTCTCCTTGCTTTGTCCGTCTTCATGTTGCTTATAGCAGAAAATACCCCTGCTACCTCGTTCTATGTTCCTCTTTTAGGTAAAATATGTCAATGTTTTCTACATTTGCTTTTAAAAGTATTTCTAGTTTATACCATTTCTTTACTCTTTTATAATATTTCAATTATTTCTTCCTTTTTTTTATTCAAATTTATGTTACAATTTGTACTTCATCTTTATCCGGAAGCAAACACATTTTATATTTTTGTCTCTTTAAGTTTTTTAACAAAGTAAAGACTGCGATGTAATTGATAATTTTGAAAGGTCTGTATGCGCTGCTGAGGAGGTTGTACGAAATACATTTAGTTTTATTTGTACTTTAAACAATAATCAGAAAAAATACTTAGTATTACCGGGTTTTTGTAGATAAATAATTTAATATTGTAAGTTAACTTCATTTCCCAACATCAATTTCTTGACCGTATCGTCAAGTTTGACGATATATCATTTGTCTCCTTACTTAAAACTGTAAGGTCCGGATGAAACAGGGTGCAGACTAACTAGATTCCAATGTAGTTATTGTAATTTATAAGCGAACATCGTTATTCTAGCCACATAATTGGTTGTCCCCCTGCCAATCAAGTGTTTTGAAGAGCTAATTTGCTTACATCTGTTCAAACATATCTCAGTAATTAAATTGTTTCACAATTCAGTCACTTAAGCTTTGACCTATGGTATTATAATAAATGAGGATCAATACACAACACGGGAAGGCGCATGGTATATTAATATGTTTGCTTATATTTACAGGTGTATACCTGATCACAACTATGTCATTCACATCATGTTCCGTCATCGTTGCCGTTACAGTATCGAATATCCATGCCCGAGGAGCACGTGATTTGAAAGTCCCGAAAGGCGTTAAGGCGTTCGTCATTTGTATGTCAAAAATGTTGTGCATGAAATTAAGATACATCGAAACTGGAGAATACCTTGGAGAAGTGATTTCCGGAGGATTACAGAAAACAAGCAATGGAGACGTTGGTGGTACCAATAGAGTCCATTGTAGTGAGAATTTGACATCACTTCCTGGGTTCGAGGAACAGTCGAATATACAGATTTCCACCATGAACAGCCCGGATGTTTACAGTGCGTCCATTCTACAAGCTCTGCAGTGCCTTATCGAGCAAAGCCACTCTCACGACGGAGAGGAGCTGAACAGACGACAATGGGAAGAGGTCGCGTTCATAGTCGATCGATTTTTCTTTTGGGCGTTCCTTCTGGGAATGATTTTGTCGTCTGTTTATTTACTTGCTTTTTCACCGATGTTGTTGAAGCAAATAACTCTATGATATAAATTTGGAAAAACTTACAAGTTGATTCGTGCGTGTCTTTCGACACTTGAACGCTCGTATGAAACCAGTTGACTGTTTTGAAGCAAGATTACTAGTTTAGACATCTACACCATCGATTTTTGTGTCAAACAAAACAAGTGTAGTTGTGTTTTAAACCTGTAGGATACAATATTGTTTGAACAGGATTTGTTCTTTGTCATCAGCACTGATGGTCAGGACAATCACGGAAAAGGAAAATCTTGTAAGTTTATTTTTAAATACAAGGTTGATTTTGTATATCCTATGACAAAGATGGATATTGAATATGAATGCAAGTTCAGAATTGGCTGGTGTGGTCGCTTTGATTTACTCCGTGTAGCTGAATCTTATGTGTTTTTCTGCTGTATTCGTTTTGTCGGAGACAGAAGCTATATTTTACAGTGTTAGTTTTAGTGGAAGATTGGATTAGTCCGAAAGCATTTTATGATATTTGATTGTTGATAAATCTGTATTCCAGCTGATGAGAGCATACTGCTGAGATAGAAATTAAACAGGAAATTGAAACACTGTTAAAGCAGAAGTGTTTGGATTTGAAAAAAGTGAAGTTTGGCTTTAAATGTTTTTGGATTTTGACATTTTTGCGTTGTAAATGCTTTTGCGTTATTTTATACATGTAAATGTTTCAGAGCGTGTCCATATGCTCACGGATGCATATTGGCGATGATATTGTAAACGTTAACTTTCGAATATTTTCACCAGCCAAAAAGCATTAAATTATACAGTACATAGATCAAAATAATATATTTAATCATTATATTTCATAATTTTGTATTGGTTGCAAATTTGTAACATAAGTGAGTGTTACATGTATGATTTTCATAAATCCTATAAGTTCAAAACAGATTTCAAAATTCGAAATTATTTCAAATTGTTGAAGGTATATCAAGGTTTAGTTAGAAATATCTATAAGTAAAGTTTTTGTAAGTAATATTAGTCATGTTAAAACCGTGATTATCAAATGACAAATATTTTGTAGTTAAAAATATTTTGAGAATATGAGATGGAAGTTATTTCATCTACTTTCAAAATGTTTTGTTAAAAATAAGTTTATTATGCATATTTATTTTGACGAAAATATTGGTTAAATTAAAAGTAAATAAGATGTGACTTTGGTTACATTCATTTTTCACTGTCGATGACACTTGGTATCTTCAAACAGTGATTTTTCAATTGAAGTTGTCTTTTAATTCACATCCAACTCACAATGAAATCAATGTAATTGCACACAGTGATAAGTGTTGCCCTTTACACATGTGGTCTCTCAATGGAGGTGGTCGTATTAGCAGGTTTGATTGTACAATGAAATATTATTAGAATCTTTGTAAATATATGTAACACTTAAATACCGGTAAGTATACTAAACAAGATTTGAAAGACCGTCTATATCATCGTCTAGTTTTTACTGGACAAAGAAATATCTTGAGAAATTTACTGTTTTAGGTAAATCATTTTTTATTTTTTTGTTGTATTAAATCCATGAATGAAAACATCAAAAGGTGTGAAAGTAACCCTCACGGTTTTATAGTTAAATATGTACCTTTCTATAAAATTGTACAGTTATTGAAATGAAATTTATTCTTATAGATTGTTCTGGACAGCGCCAAGCATGAATGAGTGTATATATATAATGTATATAGCTAAAATGTAACCAACACGTTATCTGTGATAGTTATATATCTATGGTAGTACCAAAAAGTGTGTCCAAACTATTTGGGCGAAATCAGAGTGAAATTTCGTTTTGTTAGTTAACTAATAATCCGGACATATATCAGCATTTTTAATTATCCTCTAAACTTTTCGATATTCAGATTTTGTAACGGAGAGACAGTGTTTCGATCAGCTGAATCAATCAATAATGTCATTAGTTCTTCAAAAGATGATTATTTTAAACATTTTTTTTTTTTATTTTCAAAATGATAAACCAAACACATTCATCAACACCAATTATTTTCAACTTTTATTATTCAAAGTTCTTTAAATGTTTTTCCTGATGTTCAATAATACTTTACAACAAATTGATTTTATCACGAGGAAGGCATGTGATTTCAGCTTTGTAATAAAGCATGGCAAAAATAATTTACTACTCTTACTTACAATTGAAACTCACATTTATCTGAACTCTAAACACCGGTGATACGCGCTCAAGGTAAGAAATATAAAGCTTTATCAATATAAAATCGACCAAATAATTAAAACAAATTGTCGCAGTCTGATCATATATATTTTTGTGATTTTAGGACAAAAGAAAGACAAAATTCTTTTTCAATAATACAAGACAATATTATTGATCAAATTTGATAAATGAGTTTCCATTGTATCTCAATCCTTTGAATTGAAGACCGATTAAAAGTTGTAACTTTTACCAGTTTTTTGTGTGTGTTTGAAACTGAAACAATATTGTGATTATTTTTTCACATTTATAGTTTTGGTAAAGTGTGCCCGTTTTATATTTTATATATGAATGTGTATCATATCAATATGTCATGTAAAAAGAACCAATTAAATTTCGTCATGATATGGCTGTGATATGATTTTTAATTGGAATAAAGGTAGGTTATTAGTTTTTATGTGTGCTATTTTAAAATTTTCATTTGTATTCATAACATTTTTTTATCATTATTTTAAATATCCATAGCAAAGGGACTTTAAGACGAACATGCATTTTAGTATGCGGTTTTATAATAGAAATGTACACAATATTAATAAAATTTAAAAAGAAATTGGTGGTCGGTAAAACACAAGTCAACTTTTTTGCGTAATTTGCAAAACGTCAACAGCGCTCAACATTACCTCTTAAATCAGCGATTTTTTTAAAGGATACATGAAGTCAAGCCTCATTTTCGCATAATATTATTTCGTCATAAAGTCAATTGAACTGGAAGAAGTTTATTCGCATATACCATTTAACGTCGCTTCTATGTATCATCCATTAGCTTAACTTAATATTCAAATTACATATATATCATTTGAAAGACAGATAGTTTGTTTATCAATCATGATTCCCTTTTTTTCAATCAAGTTTTCTTAAAATGGTGGCTTATAGACATTGCATTCTTAGTAATCATAAATTTTCGTTGGGCTTGAATATAGTAGAGTTGACAATATATGCTGATTTTTTCTTCGTCGTAGCATGATTTGAAGCCTTGCCAAAAGTGTCGACACTAATATACATATGTACCAACATCTTAATTTGTAGTTGTTTACATACAAACATTTTGATGTACGCATCAAATTGCTGTAAAAAGTGTCAGGAAATCAACGAAAATAAATAACCACGAATATTTATGATTCACCAATACTCATTTTAATCACAATAGTAAATTTGTTATCACAATGTAAAATACAAAACGAATCAAAATATATAACAAAAATGAGTTATGTTTTGGCGTATACAATGTACTTCCGTATCCTTAGTTGCTTGATGGTTGTATTAAATGAAATAATGATTAATAATACATTGTGTGATGTGTTGTTATTTTTAATGCAAATATCTAAAATACAACTGTTGTCTTGACCCCTCAAAAACCGCCATTCTATCCAATCCCCACCTAACGATGTAGATGGACACCATCTTATGATGGCTTTGCTTAATATAATCTTCCCCTACCTTAATGGTGTGACAGAGAAATATCCTACCCGAGGGGTGATTTTTTTGGTTGTCTAACCCGAGGCTCTGACGAGGGTTTGACAACCAACCAAAATCACCCCGAGGGTTGAAGATTTCTCTGTTACGCCCTCACGGTAGGGGTTGATTATTTTTCTCCCATCATACTTTTTCAGTCACAACTCCACCAACAATAATCTTTGAAGTTTGTTTATCGTCATTCACTTTTGATAACGTCACAATTACCGGTGACGCATCTTAGTGACGTCACAATTGAACACGTTCTAATCGACACGATGCTATCTCCCCCTAGGGGGTGACAAGCTGATCATTCCCGGCTAAAACGGGAGACACGCCTGTGAAGGGTGGGAGAATAATTCCATCTTTTCTTCGAGTTTGATGTAAACTAAACATTATAGTACATATCGCAGATAACAAAAAAAATCTGATGTATTTTATGTAGATATGTAAGAAAATCGTCGAACTGTGAAAATATGACACATATTTTTTTTATTAAGCTCTGGACCTTTACAATTACCTAAATTATGATAATAATTGTCACATTAATATCAAGCTATCGGATAACCGTGACGCATTCAAATTTCATGATTGTTACATTTCCCATATTCTTAATAATGATATACCAGCCTCCCTTGCTAACTGAGTTTAATGTGTCATAATTCATTTCCCAATCTAGAACTAGTTTAAAGTATCAGACTACAATTTTTTTTTGGATAGCTGCGTCCAACAAATATATACAATCAATGATATACAGCAATATATAAACTATGATCGAACGCTAGTTGGTTAAGGATTCCCGTTCTGCTGCCAACAAAAGATATGATCCTGAAATGGTGTAACGAGCATGAAAATAGCTTTCATATGCCACTTCTGAAAAAGATGAAATATATACCATGCGGAAAAAAGGTAATAAAGATGAAATCAAAACAATTTAACAGTGTTTTGAGAATAAAAATGAAATGCAGCAAGACCAGGATAAAAAAAATACTTGACATCCGATTACAATACGGCTGATATAGCTTACTATAACAAGGTGCTTTACATAACATGAATAATAGTATACCTACAGTGACAGTTATACAAATATAGTAGATAAAAAGGCATACAAATCAGCCTCACGTAAAGGACCAGTGGAAGGTCTCTGATTGAATCCCAACGCAGTTATATCCAAAAATATAATCAATGGAAGGTCATTGTATGTATGGAAATAGCATTGACATTTTCTAGTGTTTTCGTTTAGTCGGTCATGAACCCTTAACATATTTAATAAAACAATGGACATGCTTTACAAAACGTAAGCATTATTTTACCTGACAGACGATATTGCTGGCATTCCGTAATAGATTTAACGCCAAATTCCTACCCGTCAAAACCTATGATATAAACTCAAGTCAGCAGTTCCCTATTACTAGCACCGACCAATTTTAATGTTTCTGAAGTAATGTTGTACTTCCAGCATCAACTCATAAGATGATGACGTGCTGACGAGTTAAAATGTATAGGTTTAGAACAGGTGCCTATCTGCAATTTACGAAAATAAAATGGCAGGATACCATATTATTTTTTTAGCGTGACTTACGAACTTTCTCTTGATATTTCGAGCAGTAAGAAATATCAATTTCGTTTGAAATATTGGTATGAAATTGCGAGAGCTGATCATGTTAAGCTCTGCATTAAACAGATGATCTAAAATATGTTTATGATACATATCAGTCGTGCAGCTGCAGATCCAGTAAGGCTGTAAAATTCTATTTCAACAAATTGGCATGCTGATTTTAAGCTTATCAGTAACCGACAACTGTTATTTCATTTGTAAACTTAAATACCACTTGTTCATTAGTGATATGAGAGATTCGTCTGTTTCTCCCGGTAAGCGAGGGAAGCAGAGAGGTAGGGTCGTGCCACCAGCTCTCTGGGGTCTGGTGGTACTGTCTCTGTTCCTGATTCGGGGGGTCTCGCTTCGGCGAGTCCCTCTCGTGAGCATGGGGTCGCCTTTCCTGTCCTGTCCTGGAGAAGTGGAGGGGCAGCCCGACCCAGGCTTGGCACAGCCCAGGGTCGAATTGGCCGGGAACACCCGTAAGCTTTCGCGCTTGCCTTCGGGTAGGGACTACCGGCCGCCGGTCACTGACTCTGTCAGTGATCCCAGGTGCTGCTGTCGTCGGGGACAGTCTTGGTGACGGGCCTGTTCTTTCGGGTTCAGGTCCTGGTGTGACTAGAGACTTTCTTTCGGGATTATCTGTGTCTACCGGAATTAGTGACGCGCAGGGAACCCTTGGAAACCCGGACGTACATGTCCGGGTTTCCACCTGGAGGGAGTGGAGGTCAAGGTTCGCCCTTTGGGCAAGGTGGCCAGCCCCAGTCTCAGGCAGGCCAGTTTGGCCAGTTCTAGGGTCACTCCCAGCCCGCGGGAACTTTCCCATTATCTTCCGGGATATGGGTTTAACAAGCACGTAGATTCTCCTCACTTCAAGATGGAGACTCCTCGGGGTATTATCGCATCCGTGAGAGAGGGAATGTGGGCGACTTCAGTAGATCTGAAGGACGACTACTTCCACATCCCCATCAAGAAGTCGGCACGGAAGTACCTCCGTTTTACTTGCAACGGAAAGGTCTTCCCGTTCCGGGCCATGCCGTTCGGGCTCACGACTGCATCTTTGGTTTTCACCAAGCCGCTGCAGGTGGTCGTGGGATTCCTGCACTCTCGAGGAATAGATGGTCAGATCTATTTCGACGATTCTCTCATGCTTCACCTAGTGAGAGAGTCTCTGGTGCAGGTCACCCGGTTGGTTCTGAAAGTCTTAATCAAGGTCGGCTTCATTACTTCCAGAGAAAAGTCGGAGGTTTCCCATCTCAGGATTTTGTTTTTCTGGGGAACCGTTTCAATACGGTTCAGGGCATCGCCCTTCCATCGATGGAGAAGTTCGAGAAGGCCAGGGCTTTTGCTTTGACCTTCATCGGCCGGTCTCAAGTCAAGGTACGTTGGTTTCTCAGTTTTCTGGGATATCTCAACGCACTGGCCGATGTGGTCCCCTTAGGGAGACTTCACATCAGGCCTCTCCAGATGTTTCTCCTTGCCAACTGGGTCCCTTCTTCAAGGGATGTGCTTCCTCTGAACCAGTCGGTCAAGGAGTTCGCACGCTGGTGGACTCGCCAGGACAATGTTCTCCAAGGGGTTTCTTTTTCAAAGCCGGTTCCCACTATGACCCTCTACTCGGATGCATCCATGACAGGGTGGGGAGCTTACCTCGACGGGCATTGCCGGTCGGGGGAGTGGTCTTGGGAACAGCTCTCGGACCACATCAATGTACTCGAGATGAGGGCTGTCCTGTTGGCTCTACAGTCTCTTCGGGAGATTACGCATTCCAAGGTGATTTGTGGTGTGGCTACGGATAATACTACAGTTGTCGCGTATCTGGAGAGACAGGGGGAACCAGGTCTCACACCCTGTGTGCCCTAGCTATCCGCATTCTTCTTCTTTGTGAGGAAATGCAGTTGACAATTTGTGTCAAGCATCTACCAGGCAGGCTCTTTCCAGGCGCCGCCAGCTGGTTTTGACAGAGTGGCAACTGGATCCCTCGATTTTCGAGGGAAGTTGTCAGGTGTGGAACAGGCCTCACAATCAGTTGCCAACGTGGACGCTCTGTCTCTGGATTGGGAGGAAATGCATGCATACCTGGTGGGCAGGGTGCTGCAAAAGTTTCGGGAGCATCAGTATTCCCTCCTTCTGATTGCGCGCCTTTGGCCGAGCAGCCTTGGTTTCCGGAGTTTTTGTCGCTTCTGGTGAAAGAGCCCTTGGCTCTTCCTCTCAGAGCGAATCTCCTTCGCCAGACTCGGTCCAGGACGATGCACTCTTGTCCGGAGATCCTACACCTTCACGCGTGGAAGCTATCTCAGGAGGCCTCGCTCATGCGGCCTTTTCTAGGGACGTGTCAGATCGCATCGCTCGATCACTTAGGGCTTCCTCATCTGCCGTCTACCAGTCACGATGGAAGATTTACTGTGATTGGTGTGTCGGCAGGAAGGTTGATCCGATCAAGGCTACTGTCAAGGTGATTGCGGACTTCCTTCTTTGGCTGATTAGGGCACTATCACTGGTTATCGCACGGCCATTGCTAGTGTTCTCTCTATTCATGGTAGGCCGGAGGTAGGCTCGTCCTCCCCTCTTTCTGTCTTGATTAGGGGGTTTGGGTTGGACAGGCCTAGAGTCTGGCAGTTGACTCCGCAATGGAATTTGCCACTGGTGCTCGAATCGCTGTTGCGGGCAACTTATGAGCCTTTAGGTGTGTTACCTGCAAGGTGGTTTTCCTTATTGCCCTGGCCTCAGGTCGAAGGATGAGTGAGATTCATGCCTTGTCTGCTCATCCCTCTTGCCTCCGGTGGTCAAGGAATCACTCTGCCGTTGCCCTTCTCATTGATCCTGCCTTCATGGCTAAGAATCAGGTTCCTGGCTTCTCGCCCTGGATTCGAAGCCTCCACTACGGTAAGACGAATTCGCATACTAAAGTTATGATAATTATTACTGAAATGAAATTGAGGTTTTTGAAGTAAAAACAATTTTCATGACGTGATAATTACCATAACTTTATGGAGTCCCACCCTGTATCCCCCACCCCCTTGCCTCCTCATCCCGGCTGCATTAAGGCTCCATAAAAGGGGTTTGAGGAAGGGAGATCACTCCGTGGCTCTGTCGTCGAGATATGGGTAACGTCAAGGTAGGGAGGTAGGGATATTTGAATATTGTTTTTGGTCTTCAATGGGTGTAGGTATTGTTTATGCATACTAAAGTTATGGTAAGTATTACATCATGAAAATTGGTTTTACTTCAAAAAC